GCTGATCCCATTGCTTTAACATTAACAACGCCAGTTGTAAATTTCAGCTAATAAAATGTTCAGAACTGGGAAGCGACAGCTTTGGAAACAAAGTGTTACAAGAGTTTTAAAGGTAAGAGATATGGAGATGTAAGAAGGAGCAAGAATGGGAGTGAAATCTGCAAAATTTACCAATCCTTATGTGGCTATATAGGAAAAAAAAGTAGTATTGCTTACAACTTTATATATATATTTTAAAAAAACCTGTGATATATCCTTGCGGTGTAATGTAAATGGAACGTGTGTATTAATGGGAGCACATAACCAAATTGGTTTGTAAAACTTGGAGAAAAAGGTGATTTTGAGATCCCTCCACAGGGATATAATAATATAAAAGGTAATTTTTTTATTGCCATGTTTCCATTTGTTAAAACAGAGCAGACATTATGATTATACAATGAGAGTTATTATTATATGAGCAGGTCCTCCATTTAGGATGAATAATGTATGTATTTTAATCATAAGCCTAGCCTTTATACAGTATATATTTCTTGATGTGATATTTTGATGTGAAGTTATAGCCAGATTGCTAATCCAGATAATGAACCAATCTGTAAATATTGGAAATCTTGAGTATGTCTCATGTTTTTATGGAGGGTGTGCTACGTTTTAGTCTCAGTGAACCTCAGAGGTGGGTGGCATCCTTTTGATGATCTTTCTACGATTAAAAAATTAGATAGACATATTGGAATTGATGTTTGAACTCCTGTTAGCCAGCATACCTAGATATAAAGAGAGTGGGTTCACCGACAAATGTGCACTCGACAAAAGTGCGCCGACAAAACGGTGGCGAGAAAACCGTGAGGTCGAAATCACGCCGATGAATGTGCACAGAAGCGCGCCGACAAATGCGCACCGACGAAAGCGCGCCATCAAAAAACAACGAAAACAATGTAATAACCCTAACCCTAACCCTAACCTTAACCCTAACCCTAACCCTTACCTTAATTTAAATCGCGCTTTTGTGGGCACGGTTTTGTCGGCGCGTTGTTGTGGGCGCGTTTATGACACCGCGGTGTTCTCGCCGCGGTTTTGTCAGCACGCTATTGTCGTGCACGCATTTGTCAGGTCACAGAGTGTGCTTCTCGGTCAAGGTACTGGAGCAAATGACAGTGGAGAGAGTCTGCCTTCATACTCCTGCTAGTTTACGTCTATTGAGAAGCTTCTAATGTGTAACTGGAATTGATATCCTCTTGAAATCTAAGCCCATTAGATCAAATAGCCTTTTCTTTGGAGAACAAGGGACAACTGTTTACCTTCTTTTCCTTGATAGTCTCTTATAATATTGCTGCATTGTTGTGACCTCTTATTCTTTAAGATAGGCCCACTTTAAAAAAAACACCACGACGTTTTGAATGAGTGAACAGAGCTAATTTTTGGCCACAATTAAAAAGGATAGCTTGAACTCAGGAACTGGAAACACCCCTTCAGGAAGGTTTATGTTTGCTCCAGCCTTGGTAACTGGTTGCTTAGCAGCTTTTGTTGAATTGTTGTTGCGGGCAATTTGCTGCCAGAGTGAAATGAGATCTTTTCCATCTTTCAGGCTGCTTTATCAAATAATTGGCTTTCTTTTCAACCCCGTGGTGTGACGTCTTTTGGAAATGAAGTTCTTTTTGAGAAGGTTGCGTTGTAGAGTAGCTACGCATATGAGGACACCCTTCTTTTTAATGCTGGATTTTGATTTGATTTTATTTGATTTGTCTTGTATGCCGCCCACTCCCGAAGGACTCCGGGCGGCTCACAATAGACAAGGGAAAGGGGGAAAACTAGACAAAGCAAATTTTAAAGCTCAGTTCCCTC